TGATTATATACCTCTAGTTCTAGCTAGAGAAAATTTTTTATTCTTATTATTTTTATAATAGAGATTATTTGTTATTATCTGTAGTTTTTACTCCTCATTTTTGGGAGATTTTTCATTTAAATTGCTTTTGTCCTTGTACTTGTGATTTGTAATTTATTTGTTAGCTCTATTTTGTTTAATTCTTGCTAGATTCACACAAGATAAGGATAATTTTATTTTTTTGTTGCGTGACATATTCGATTTAAATATTGTTTAAGGTTATTTTATCCCATCAAAATGGTATCAGAGTTTAGGTTATTTGATTTGTGCCTTGTGTTGAATAATGAAAGTCAATATAAGTAGAATGATTAATTTGAATGGTTGAAATTATTATGTGCAAAAAGGGAATATGAAAGACTTGCTTTATATAAAGGATTATTATTTGTTTATATTTGCCACTGAAAAGTTTGAAAATAAAATAAATGTAGAATAAATTTTGTTTCATTGACAAGTACATGTTGATATTAAACAATAGGTAGATGATAATGCTTTAAACCATGTTAATGGAGAAACAAATGCACACACTTTTTGAAGCAAGCTTGAAGAGTTGAATGCTTGAAAAATTTGAGAATAATAAAATGTTTTTAATTAAATAGTTGATGAGTTTGAAATATCAAGATGGCACTCCTATGACAAATCACTTAGATGCATATCAAGGTATTATTAATCAGTTGACTAGCATGAATCTCAAGTTTAAAGATGAGATACAGGGCTTATGACTTTTTAGTACATTATTAGATTCATAGGAGACATTTAGAGTAACATTATCCAACTCAATTTCAAATGGTATTGTTACTATAAATTTGGTTAAGAATGGTGTTTTAAATGAAGAGATGAGAAGAAAGTCATAGAGTTTTTCTTTACAATCTAATGTCTTAGTCACAGAAAATAAGAAAATAAGTAAAAAGAGAGGTTTGAAGAATAACAACTTAAGCAAGAGTAAGTTAGACAGATTTGTCAATATTGAGAGTCATTATTATGGTTTAAAAAGGCATATAAGGAAATACTGTTGAAAGTTGAAAAATGATAACAATAGTGACAAAGATAAAAAAAGAAGAATGGTAATGGTAATAGTGCTGATAAAGTTATTACTGTCACAAATAATTTCTTCTTTTAGATAATGATGATGTTGTTAATTTTACACACCGTGAGACTAGTTGGGTAATTGATATCGGTGCCACAATTCATGTTACATATCGAAAAGATTACTTTACATTTTACACACCTGGTGATTTTATGAGTGTTAAAATGAGTAATGATGACTCAACTAAAGCCATTGATACGGGAGATGTGTTTTTAAATACTAATAATAGCACCACGTTGGTATTGAAAAATGTTAAATATATTCTTGGTATTCGCATGAATTTAATTTCTACAGGAAAGTTTGATGATGAAAGGTTTCATAACACTTTTTATTATGGTCAATTAAAGCTTACTAAAGGTTCTATGGTTGTAGCTAGAGGTACGAAGCTCTTTTCATTGTATTTAATGCAGGCAAAGGTATGTGATTCCATTATCAATGCAGTAGATAATGATGATACAACTAAGCTTTAGCACAAGCGACTTAGTCACATGAGTGAGAAAGGTTTAAAGGTTTTTACCAAGAAAAATCTTCTTTCTAGGGTGAAGAATATATCTTTAAATAAGTGTGATCATTGCTTGGCAAGGAAACAAACTAGAGTTGCATTCAAGACATTCCCTCCATAAAAAAAGTCAGATATACCTGATTTAGTATATTTTGATGTTTATGGTCTTATGAGAACAAAAAATACTTAATGGTTCGATTTATTTTGTGACTATTATAGATGATCATTCAAAAAAAATATGGGCTTATACCTTAAAATAAAAAAACTAAGTGTTAGATATGTTTAAATAATTTCATGCTCTAGTTGAAAAATAAAAACGGTTGAAATTAAAATGTGTAAAGACTGATAATAAAAGTGAGTACACTGGACCCTTTGATGAGTATTACAGACAATAAGGTATTAGACATCAAAGGTCATCTCTTAAAACTCTTCAGTTGAATAGGTTAACTGAGTAGATAAACAAAACACTAATGAAAAGAGTAAGATATTTTCTTTCACAAGCATAATTATTAAAATCTTTTTACGATAAGGCTTTAAGTATAGCTGTACATATTTTAAATCTCTCACCATATGTTCATCTAGATTTTGATATTCTAAATAGAGTTTATCAGGCAAGGATGTGTCATATGTTTATTTGTACACCTTCGAATTCAAAACTTTTGTGCATATTCTTAAGGATAAAAAATGCAAGCTCGATATCAAGACTAGATAGTAAATGTCTTTGGTTATAATCAAGATAAGTTTGGTTACAAGTTTTATAATCCAGTACAAAAAAAACTTATGAGAAGTAGGGATATTGTTTTTGTTGAAAACCTGACCATACAAGATATTCAGAAGAATGATACATTAGTTTCACGATGTAGCGATGGTTTGATTGACTTAAATCTAGTTCTTTTAACACATGTGCCTACAGAGGTTGAAAATATTAAGGATAACCAACATAATACAAGTGATCTTAATACTAGTTTTACACAGATTGAAGTGGATGATGATACCCATAAACAATCACCAGTATCAGATGTTCAACTAGAGGTTTTACTAGAAGTTTCACTTAAAAAATTACTAGAGATCGACAGCCTTTCACGTGGTATTCTGATGATGAGTGTATGCTACTAATTGATGTAGCAGAACCTGAATGTTATGCATAGTTCACGAAAGATAAACATAAGAAAGAGTGGGTTGATGCCATGCAAGATGAGATGAAGTCTTTGTATGAGAATAATACTTTTATTTTGGTGAAACTGCCTAAGAAAAAAATCTTTGAAAATTATATGAGTATATAGAGTGAAGCAAGAAGAACACACTTCACAACTATGTTTCCAAATTAGATTAGCTATCAAGGGATTCAGTAAAAAAAAAAGTATTGACTTTAATGAAATCTTTTCTTTTGTTGTTAAGATGTCATCTATTCGTGTGGTTCTGAGTTTAGCAACTAGTCTTGATTTTAAGTAGATAGATGTCAAAACTATTTTTTTTCCATGATGACTTGGACAAGGATATTTACATGGAGTAGCTAGAGGGTTTCATAGTAAAAAGAAAAGAGGATTTTGTGTACAAGCTAAAAAAAAAGTCTTTATAGGTTGAAGCAAACACCGAGAGAGTGGTATAAGTAGTTTGAGTCAATTATAGGTAAGCAAAGCTATCGAAGAACTATTTTTGACCATTGTGTGTTTATGCAAAAATGCTCTGATGATGATGTTATCATTGCTTTATGTAGATGACATGTTGATTGTTAATAAGAATGCTTCTAGAATTGACAGCTAAAGAAACAATTGAGTAGATCTTTTACTATAAAGGACTTAGGGCCAGCACAATAAATTTTTAAAAATTGAATTTATCGAGATAAAACAATCAAGAAATTGTACATGTCATGGAAGCACTATATTGAAAAAGTGCTTGAAAAGTTTAATATGGATCAAGCTAAAATGGTTAGCTCTCCTCTTGCTACACACTTTGAGCTAAGTATTAATTAGAGCCCTTTTACAACTAAAAAGAAAGAAGACATGAAAAAAGTTCCATATGCTTCAGTAGCAGAAAGTTTGATGTATGCAATAAAGTGTACTAAGCTAGACATAGCCCATACAATTGGTATTGTTAGTCGCTTTCTATTAAATCTAAGAAGAAAGCATTAAAATACAGTTAAGTGGATTATGAGATATCTACGAGGCATTTCTGACTTGAAACTCACTTTTAAAAGTGAGAAACCAGTGCTAGATAACTACATTGATTCAAATATGACAAGAGATGTTGATTCTTGAAAGTCTACTTTGGGTTATTTGATTACATTCTTAGGTGGAGCTATATCGTAGCAATTGAGACTACAAAAATGCGTTGCACTTTCTACAACAAAGGCTGAGCATGCTACAGCCACTAAAGCATGTAAAAAGTTGTTGTGGATGAAAAAGTTCATACAAGAACTTGATTTCAAGCAACAACATTAAGTGATATTTTGTGACAATCAAAACGCAATTCACTTTGGTAAGAATTCTACTTTTTATTTAAGATTAAAGCATATTAATATGAGGTACCATTAGTTAAAAAATGCTCTCAATGATAACTTGTTTGAACTTAAGAAGATTGATATTGATCACAATGGTTCTGATATGTTAACAAAGACACTACTAAGAAAAAAGCTTGAAGTTTATCGTTTGATCATCAGAATGGTTATTCCCTCCACATAGTCCAAAAAGAGGAGATTTGTTGGGCTTGATTTCCTCCACATAGAGGTGGCTTAAAACTAAAGCCCATTCACCAAGGAATTTTTAGTCATTTCATGCTTTGTTATAAGATTTTAAACCCTTATATGGCTGAAAAAATAAACAAAAGAGCGTGGTGGCAAAATAGAAAAAAAAAAAAAGCAAAAAGAAGTTTTGTGCAATTCTGATCAAGTAGTTTGATCGAGGTCAATCTATTATCTGATTGAGCTGAAATTTGTATCAGTGTGTTCACGATTCATTATTCTTCAGTCTGAATGGTGAAGATCAAGTTTTGAGTTTTTTACCTACTGATTTCATGGGTATTTGTTAATCTCTAAATTTGCTAAAACTTCTCCAATTTTTTCTTGTAAGATTGTTTCTTTACCAATATTCTTTAACCTTGAGATATTGTGGTTGTATATCTCTAATTCTAGCTAGAGAGAACTTTATATTCTCATTATTTTGATAGTGAAAATTATTTGTTATAACCTATGATTTTCACTCCTCGTTTTAAGAGGTTTTCTACATAAATTGCTTGTATCCTTATGCTTGTGGTTTAGTGATTTATTTGTTAGCTCTATTTATTTAATTTTTATTAGATTCACGAAAAAAATGATAATTTGATTTTTTTTTATTGTGTGACATATTCAATTTGAATATTATTTGATATTATTTTATTCCATCACTAATATGGGTCAATTCATAATTTGATCCAGCAAGAACACAGTTACATATTCCTGGTCATAGTTAAATCTCCTTGATTCAGGTACCAAACTCGGGTCAATGTTAATCTTTGGAAAAGCTTTGATTCACCAACCGATACACTTCTCCCTGAGCAACCACTCACGGGATACAAAAGGCTTCTATCGGCACGAAGCCAAAGTGAGGTAACTACAAGCTGATGTTTGACTAGGATTACGTTCTTCGTCTTGTCTTGGAAGGTCCAGAGACATCCAGCGTCCACTGGCCCGATTCAATGCTCTTGGACCACCAACAAGGAAGAACAAGATACAATGATAGCAGAATTGCAGTGTTCAACTTTATATCTTCCGATGAAGTGGAGTTCAGATCAACTGATTTTGGTAGAGGAACCTGGAGAAGATTGACACTTGATTTTGATGTAGCCTTTGAATATACACTCTTGAAGAGCAAAAGGGGATTTGATCTGTCACATGGCAAGCGATGTCTAAATCCTGTGGAATTCATGGAGCCTGTGTACCAAATAGCATATGTAGCTATGTTCCAAGTTCGGGCCTAAAGTCTTAAGCAATATACAGCAGATTAAAAAAAAGAAAAACATATCAAATCATTTTGTACACTAAAATACCATTGAACCCTTGCTAAACACAAACTCTTAGCTTACCAAACAATTTCATGGTTACGGTATCTGTCAATGACATCTGCTATAATCCTTTGGTAAGTACCGAGAGAAGGAGATGCCAGCAGTTGGTCATGGGTATACTGTCGTAAAAATTTTTCTAAATTATCACGGGGATGTCAAGGCTAGCTTCTCTAATTTTATCCCCATAACATAATAAGAGAAACTGTATATCAATAAGACATCAATTTAATAAGCATTAGCTGCTTAAGAGAACGCCCATACATAAATAAGTAAATTACGATGCTTTGTCCTCAGACATCAATTTGACAAGCATTAGCTGCTTAAGAGATTTAGTTTTTATTTGGAATCAAGAAACAAAAGTCTTACCATTAAGACTCAAAAAGCAGAAAAGACCAATAAGAAAACATGTCTCAATTTGTTTCCTTGGTAAGAGGACGGTTATCTTGTTGGTGGCCTAATATTGATAAGTATCAAAAGGTTTTGTGTCACATGCCTAAAATCTTCGAAGACACCGCTTAATATACTTAACTACCAAACAGAAACACAGACCATTATGCTCTTTTTGGTTTCGCTTTATAACAAAACTCCAACACCAAAGGAAAACGGTTTCTGTCCTTTCTGTCCGCAGATTATTAACCCACCCAGACTTTTGCAAACTTTTAAAATTCATAATAATTTCCTTGAACGCATTGTTTGAAAAACAAAACAAATATCTGCAAAATCAGTTGATGGGAAAATCTTTTTTTTTTTCATTTCCATTTTTTAGGTTTTTTTTTCCTCTTCCAATTCCAACCTGGTAACCTCCTTCCACCCTTCTAATCGGCGACATCCACTCATTTCTTGATTTCCCCATTTTTATCCCTCTGTACACTAACAAAATTATTATTTCTATAACCACCGATGGAATAACTAAAACAACAAATAAAACAGACTGAAGAAACCGAAAAACGAAACAAAGGACTTCTTTTTTAGCTTCTGCTGATTCTTGTTGTTGTCTACTCGATATTGCTAATTCCAATACGCTTAACAACAGCATTTCTGATAGCTTCAGTTTGCAAACAAAGACCATTTTTTTCAATCCCAGACATGTAGTTTCTCACTTCTTTTCTTATCATTTCTTGCATAACTGCCAAAAACTCAGCACTGAAAAACTGCCTCTCCATCCCAAACTCCCTGTTTTGCGCCCCCACTTGCTGCAACTGCACAACTGGAACTGCTGCAGGAGCTGGGGCTGGTGGTTCTACCTTTTCTGCCACCTGGGTTGGGATTGAAACAGGGTTGGAGCCGGTTGTCGATACGGGTCCCCTATCCGATATTTCACACAAATCCGACCCGGGCAGCGAGAGGCTGAGTATGGTAGGTGGATCGGTTGTCGATGAAGCCGTTTCCACATGCTGACTAGAAGGGGCCAAAGAACCAGTTCTTGCTAACGGTCTGTAAACCGGTGAGGCAGCGGGCAAACTCGAGTCACTCAAATCGGATCCCGAAGGGCTACTTGGGTTCAAGTAAAGAGCCGACACATTATTACCTGTGCCAAGACTGGCCGATCTTTTAAGCGGTTGTGGTGAATCATCGTTCAAATCATCAATCATCGAAGAGCATTTTCGCTTGAGAGTCGAGTTCCAGTGATTCTTAATCGCGTTATCGGTACGACCATTAAGGAGTCGAGCGATGGTAGCCCATTTGTTACCGAATCGGGCATGGGCTCGGATTATGGTATCATCTTCTTCGGGAGTAAAGGGTCGGTGTTCAACGTCAGGGGAAAGCTGGTTACACCATCGAAGCCTACAAGACTTTCCCGATCGACCCGGTATCGATTTGCTTATTAAAGACCAGTTCCTGGGTCCGTACGTTTGAACCAGCCGCTGTAAAGCCTCGTCTTCTTCTGGACTCCATGGACCTTTGATCCGATCCACATCTTTCTTTGTAGAAGCCATTGGAATTAAAAAGAAAGAAAACTAACTCTAAAAACTGATTACCAAACAAACCCCCCCCAAAAAAAAAAATTAACCTAAACTACTATCCTTTTTGTACAGATAAGAGATGGAAGGTTTTTGAGAGGGTTGCGGAGGGATTGTTACGACGGTTGTGTAGGCGAAGCCTCGCCTTTTGTTAAAGAGAACAGAATAATAAAGGGACTGGGCAAGGGTATTCGTATATATATGGAAGGAGATAAGGATGACTTGTTGAATGGGTAGTAGTGAGTAGTCACCGGCCATAGCCGTTGAGAGTCGAGGATTCTCCAGGCAGGGCGGTTACTAGTATAAAGTTGTCAATATGACTACGCGTTAGCTTCTCGCCTCTTTAACTTACACGTATGATTATCAACCCCCCTCCCCTTCTAAAATATAGATTACGTGCTGTTCCCAACTTACTGATTCTTCAAGTTCACGCTAGCAATTATGATGGTAAAATTAATTTTAATGACATTTAAAATAAAAGTTGATTAGAAGTTAGATTAATTATTTTAAAAAAATTAAAACAAACTAGATGACATGTGTTTGATTTAAAATAAAAATAATGATGAAATAAATTATAATAAAAATAAAAATTTTTTAATAAATTTTTTAATTTAAAATATAATAATAAATTAATTTATGTATATATTTTAATTTTATTTAATATATAAAATCTTTAAAATTTATTGAATCAAAATATTGATATATATTAAATTATACTAAAATAATGATTAAGATTTTATGTATGAAAATTTATTTTAAATATTTAATAAAAATTTATTATTAAAATAATAATTAAAATTTTAAGTCATATAAAAAACAAAAAATAAATAAAATACAGAATAAAAAGAATGAAAGAACAAAAATTATTGTGATAATAATGTTAAAAAAAAGAGAGAGAGAGAGCCTAAAGGAGAAGAAAATTGCGGTTAAAGTAATAAACTTTACTGTTAAAGGTTAGTTTAAAAAAGAGTTCCAATATGGTGGATTAAATTCAATCACGCTACATCATTACCATCCAAACATAAATTTAGTGCGATCGAAACCTATTTTCGCATGGCACTGACGCTGCCAGCTAATTCAAATGCATCCTAAGTTAAAGAAGTTAAACGGTGAAAAAGCTGGAAATATCTACAAAATCTGGGCAATTAAAAGCAGTTAAAACGACCGTTTTGGAAGTTAAAATTTGACCTTATCTAATTATGAAAGAAATAAGTGGTAGAGTTGGGAAGAAGGGGATGACTTTGACTAAGCCAGGCTGGAGAGCATCTGATAATAAAATGTTATAAAATGATAAGGGGAAGAGAAAGGGCCATGCGGGAGATCTGAGCTGGCACAGAAACGACAAAGTTAACTAGCAGAATCGGGGGAACAAACAGAACTACAATTGTGTCAGTCCAGCCTGTCATAAACCCAAACGCCAAATGCCCTTCTTATTGTAATATCTCCCCTAACTGCCTGCTCCCAACCCCCGCCACGTGCCTGTTACGCTCGGATTTCCACCCCTTTTTTCTCTTTACTTTCTAAAACTGCCAAAACCGACTCCAGCGTCTTACCAGCTTAATTTATTCCTATTTGCTCCTTTTCTTATCTATAGATTTCTTTTTATCTAAATCGTACCCAAAATTAGGTATAACTCTCTTTCCAGGTTTCTGACTCTGCCAAAAGTATCTCAATTAAGTTTGGGTTAACATCAAATTAGGGGCAATATTTTGGCACGGAAGATAATTTAATCAAGCCCCATGATTTCAATTATGTATGCAGACGTGTTTTGCTTTGGTTTTGGTTCCAGGGTAATGTAGTTTAGCCGAACTTAAACTTGTTCCATTTTTCAACCAACATTATTGTTTGGCCCTTCGAAATGCCAGAGTTTCCTATGAACGCTCCACGATCAGTAGCCATAAGGCAACAACGAGTCTGGGACCGCTTTGGGGACTCTTTTGCTCTTGTTCACTAAAATTTTCAACTACTAATAGTGAAAATGAATAAAAGAAGAAAACCAAAGCCAATCATTTTTAATAAAGCAAACTACTTTAAATATCAAATGGGAAAAAATTAACGAAAAAAAAAAAGAGAAAAACAGGGAACAGGGAAAATGATCCATGTTGAGCAACGAGGTGAGTAACGCGGGAGACAGCTGCCTAAAACTCTTCCAGGCCATACATAAAACCCACTTCCCACAAGAAGTCCTAAACAAAAGTCCCGCTCCTCGTTAACCTAATCCCTATCCTTTAACCTACCTAGAAGTATAAATAATACATTAGTATTTATAAATTATTCGGGTTTGATTCGAAAAAAATTCGAATTCGATTCGATTATTGTCGAGTCGAACTCGAATTCGAGTAATTCGACTTATCAATCGAATCGAATTCGAGTATTCTTATATCTGACTCGAATAGCTCACGAGCTTAATCGAGCTTTTATATTTAAATATATTTTTATTATTTTAATTAATAAAATATTTCGAGTCCGAGTTCGAGCATGAATAATCGAACTATTGTCGAGTATACGAATCGAGCTTATTTTTACATATTAATCGAGCTTAATCGAACGAATTCGAATAGCTCGAATTCGATCATGAATCGAACTCGAGCTTGAAAAATAAAACTCAATCGAACTCAAATCGAGTATCGAACCCCGAGTTGTGAGTCGAACTCAAACTCGAACTTCTCACTATTCGACTCGACTCGACTCGTTTATACCCCTAACCGTATCCCCACGCTTCTATAATTCCTAACTCGACCCACCATTTGTTCGCACCTCACGTGAAGTCCCTATTTTTTATTTATTTATTTGTTCAGAACACCAACTCTTTTATTTTACTTTCATAGAAAATCAAATTAAAAATCTAAACATTCCCGGAAAAATATTCAGTAGTTACTTTGTATTTTGCGGAGAGGATTAACAGATTTTTCAGTAGCCATTTTAAGGTGTAAGAGAGAGGTGAGAATGGACCCAAAGTTGTGGCACGCTACTGGCTTGCCTTTAAGCAACCAAAATTATGCTTTGGATTCTCACAATTATGCCATATGTTGTTAGTATGCAGCTGAGGTTTTTTATTATTATTTAAATGGGACAAAGGATGGCAGTGTCCCTTTTTCTGAATGTCTTACCTTTTAAAGTACACCAAAATTCGGATCAAATCCTGGGATTTAGAAATATGGTTTACGAATGTGATTGGATTGGGCTTAATATTGACTGAAGAAGGGCACATGGGTACAGAAAGTTGTAGGATGTTTCGTGGAAACAGAGCCCTGGATTACTTTAGAAATTAAAACACAAAGCTCCCACTTTTCAGTTCCAATAAACCGCAAGTGGGGGATCAGCCTGGAAGTATTTTTATTGAGCTGCATTAAAAATAAGAGATTGGGTTGCCGAAAGATTACATGCATGAGAGAGAAAATAAAATGGAGGTTAGGTGCAACAAAGTTTAAGACTGCAGAGATTCTCTCGATCAAGTGCAATGGTCCTTCGTCCAGACCCCAAAGCAAAAAAAAAAAAGTTGTAATTGTATTATTATTAATTGTTGAAGATAAGATGTCATGATAATATGACTGTGCTCTGCCTTGAATCAAAGAATCTACTGCCATTACTCATCAAAGCTGAGAGAAAAGAATGTGCAGGGCATCCAAAGCAGGGGGTTCATACGTTAAACTTGCAACTGATATTTTTGTCATTTGTTTTTAATTTTTTTATTATTTTTTACAAAGAAAATACAAACTAAAATATAAATTTTAATTGCCAAGAAGGCATAAGAGTCTCATATATCTATATGATAGACAGGAGTCAAATAACAATGAATTTGCTGTTACAATATGTCTATAGAACATCTAAAATCACTCTTCAAAATTACTATATTGTATCATTTACTTAGTTGCCTCTAAAAGAAATGGAATTGCTGATTTAAAGGCAAATTTGCAAATCGAGAAACATCAATTAGTCGAAGGTAAACTTAAATTTGTTAATTTATGAATAGGAAAAAACAAATGGACAGGCTATTTAATTGAACGTGACGAGTCATATCATATGCATAATTAATTGACTACTAAAAGCAAAATATTTACACATATCCATATATTTATTATGCACTGCTAATTTGCCCATTCAAAGTAATTTTGCCTTCGCATTGGGTTTTCTTCCTAATAATATTCAGTCCAATTCAATGTTAAGTTAGTGTGGTGCTTATAATAATTAAAAGGCTAATTGAGATAGGGATGGAAGTTGGATCTTGAAATGCAAAAGCATAATCATTCATCAATATTTTAATAGTATTCTATTTAGTACTTTTAAATAAGTAAAAAAAAAATAACGAATATCTAATTTAATTAATTTGTATAATTATTATTAAAAATAATATTTAATAAATTAAAATTTTAGTTTTAATGCTCATAATTAATTTTTGGTTTTTAAATTGTATTTCTTATCAAAAATTAAAAAAAAAAAAAAGGAAAAGCAAAATTTTGTTGATATTTCATGCTTGATATGATACAAGCATTATCATAAGTTGGATGACAACTAAGTATTTAAAAGACAAATTATGGGCTATATAAAGTTTAGGCTATAAAAAAATTAGGCCACAAATCACGTAAAAGTGTGATCAAATCAAAGCTGGCTCCCTCTGAGTTTGAGAGGCAAAAAACACCACTTATCATTCCACTAAACCTAGTTGACCGCAAAACTTAGGAGTCTGATTAATCAAGTTAATCTCAATCATTCCTTTCCTCGACCAAAAAAAATAAAAAGAAAAACAACACTAACGGAGCGAAAGATATTTTTATTAAAAAAAAAACGTGGCTTTTGACCAAAATATGATTGAGCTTTGAAGCTGGATTAGGGAAGGCAAAAAAATCCGTACCCGACGGGTTCCGGTCCGACCCGATTTTTTAGGGTCGGTTTTTTTTTTTGAAAATCGGGGGTCGGGTCGGGTCGGATCGGGTAGCATGAAAATAAAGTCGGGGTCGGGTCGGGGTCGGGTTTTAGGTAAACCCGACCCTACCCGACCCGATATATATATAAAAATAAATTTTTTAATTTTTTAATTATATATATATATATTTATATAATGATTTTTTTTAATATTTATATTTAAAAAATAATATTTTATTAATTTCGGGTAGGATCGGGTCGGGTACGGTTTATATAGTGTCGGGTCGGGTTCCGGTTCGGGTATGAAAAAAACAAAAAAA